TCTGTGGTGCATTCATTGAAGCTCCTAGTAAAGAGTTCATTAAGCAAATTGATTCCTTAAACATTAAACTTTCAGACTGTGATGATCATCCACAAAAAATAGATATTTTAATTGGATCAGACTACTTTTGAAAAATAGTGACTAGAAAAACGAAACGCTTTAGTTCTTCTTTGATGTTAATTGAAACTCAAATGGGATGGGCTGTTCAGGGCCCGGTTTCCCAAACCCCCATAATAAATGAATCTACATCAGTTAATGTTTTCAATACCATTAATTCTAAGGACATAGAAAATGATAATTTAACATCAAATTATATAAAATCCTTTTGGGAACTGGAATCGATCAGCAATAGAGATGAAATTTCCAATAAAAATATTCCGAATAATGAAGCCTATCAAAATTTAAAGTCAAATTTAAACTTTAAAGATAACAGGTATGAAGTTAAACTTCCTTGGAAACACGATAGTGTTAATTTGAATGACAATTATTTTAATGCCAAAAAAAGATTATGTTCCTTGATTGGTAGATGCATTAAAGATCCCCATTTGTACACAGATTATAATGAAGTTATAGAAGAATATTTAAGATTAGGAATTTTGAAATTGTCGCCGATAAAACTGAGAAACCTGTCTTCTACTTGCCCCATCATCCTGTGATTCAAAAGGATAAAGACAACTAAGAATTGTTTTTGACGCTTCGTCACATCCTCCAAAATCCCCATCATTAAATGATTTGTTGCATTCTGGACCAAACTTAAACCCTGACTTATTAAATCTTCTTCTTAAGTTTAGACTCAACTACAGAGCATTCAACGCTGACATCGAAAAGGCATTTTAGATGATTTCACTTAATGAGAATGATCGAGGTGTTGTGCAATTTTTATGGGTAGACAAGTTACCAGAAAATTTATCTGAAATTCAACCAAGAATTCTTCGCATGAAGCGTGTCTTGTTTGGTGTTACATCCAGTCCTTTCCTTTTAGCGGGTGTGATAAAGTTGCACGTAGAAAAATATATCCATAATACCCTGAAACATGTAGCATATTGAATGATGCCATGTACGTAGACGATCTATTATCAGGGTCTTTGATTGAAGAGGAAGCATTTAAGATATCCAAAGAAGTCAAACTAATTATGGATGAAGCAGGCATGAAACTCAGGAAATGGAAGAGCAACTCTCCAAAACTAGAAAAATTGTGGGAAAATTTTGAAATTGAATTTAATCCAAGGGAAATTCAGAATCGTGATGAAACAACTACAATAAAGGTTCTGGGATTAATTTGGCATCGATACCAGGACATCTTTAAATTTGATGTAACTAATCTCATCCAATTTATAAAGAACTCTGATAAAACAAAAAGAACACTTATTAGATCTGCTGGAAGAGTTTTTGATCCTATTAGATTTTTATCACCTTTCACAATGAGATTGAAAACACTTTTCCAAGAAGCCGGCCAGGTGGCCGAGCGGTTAGCGTGCCTGACTGCTAAGCCATAGGCTGCGGGTTCGAATCCCGCTCTGGGCATGGATGTTTCTCTCTTTCTCTTTGTGCTGTCATCTGTTATGTGTGTGTACAATATGTGAATGTGGCCCACCCTATAAACGGGTTTGTGGCAGTGTGGCGTGGGCAATGTTGCTCGCCTCCGTGACTTTGGTTCACAGGTGCCCACTGGGTAACGTGAAATGAGCAACAATTCTGGCATAGTATAGGCAAAAGATTCAAATTCAGTGCCTGCCATTGAAAAAAAAACTTTTCCAAGAACTTTTGGAAAACGGAATACACTGAGATGAGGAACTACCAGTCGATATAGCTCGCCAATGGCACATTTGGTGGGAAGAATTACCTTTAGTCAACAGTCTCGAAATCCCAAGATATTATTTTGATTTAATCTTGATTGAAGACATGAAATCCATCCAAATTCATTGTTTCACTGACAGTAGTGAAATTGCCTATGGAGCCGTAATCTATTTACGGTTTACAGACACTAATAATGACATCAGTGTAAAGTTTATCTAAAGGTAGATTAGCACCTCTGAAGAAATTGACAATTCCCAGATTCGAATTAACTGCTGCTTTGATAGGTGCTAGATTGATATCTCATATCAAACCCATTTTTCAAAATCTGCGTGTCAATATCAGCTATCATTGCTGGACTGATTCAAGCATTGCACTCTCTTGGATTAAGGATTCGTCTTCAAGGGAGAAGCCTTATGTGGCCAACAGTGCGAGAAATTCAATCTTTGACTGACCCAGGAATTTGGCATCATTGTCCTGGTCAAACAAATCCAGCCAACATCATTACCAGAAGAAAAAAGTTATCAGAACTGATCACCAGTGATTTGTGGTGGTCTGGCCCTGAGTGGTTGCTAAAAGAAGAAAATTGGCCTCAAGCTCCACATATCGTTTCAGATAGTGATAACAGTACTCTGGATTTAGAAACCCGTAAACCTTACGTTTCTCTCTTAACTTCTGTTGAGGAAAATCTGATAAACAATGAGATGAGGAAACATCTCAATGTGTTTCAAACTGCTACAGGTGATGAAAATTTGCAGAACTCTAACCAATTAATTGATTTTAATAAATTTAACGAGTTAAGCAAAGTCCATTGTATAACAGCATGGGTGCACAGATTTGTCCATAATTCCAATCCTTCGTCTAAAAAATGTTATGGACCTTTGACAGCTTCTGAATTAAAGACTGCTGAAAGATATTGGGTAAAAAATACTCAAATGAACTATTTTCATAAAGAAATTTCAGATTTGTCTCATCAAAGAGCTATAGACAAAACATCGAACATTTACTCATTGTATCCAGAACTCGATGAAGATGGTCTCTTGCGATTAAAAGGCAGGATACAATTTGCAGACTGCAGAACTGGTGATTCTCAATGCCCATGAACAGGTCTTGCACTCGGGAGTAGACTCAACACTAACTCAAGTGCGGGAAAAATTTTGGATCATAAAAGGGAGACAAAGNTACTACCGTCCAAGTGTCGTTATGCAGAACTGGTGATTCTCAATGCCATTGAACAGGTCTTGCACCCGGGAGTAGATTCAACACTAACTCAAGTGCGGGAAAAATTTTGGATTATAAAAGGGAGACAAAGAATCAAATCTCTACTTGGTAGATGTATCATTTGCAAGAGACATATTGCTCATCCTGGAGAAAAAGATGTGGCCCCACTTCCTCCAGATCGCATTCTGGAATCACCACCGTTTGCTATAACAGGTTGTGACTATGCAGGTCCCTTTTTCTCCAACGAAAACAAGAATAAACATTATTTGCTCTTGTTCACTTGCGCCGTCACACGCGCTGTACATTTAGAACTAGTACATTTCCTAAACACTCAATCATTCTTACTAGCCTTTTGGCGATTTATATCTCGCCGAGGATTATGTTCAACAATATATTCTGACAATGGAAAATCATTCAAACGAGCAGATATTGAACTTCAAAAATTGTGGAAATGTATTTCTGATCCTTCTGTTAAAAACTTATTTTCTGCTTACAACATTCACTGGAAATTTATTGTTGAGCATGGAGCATAGTGGGGAGGATTCTGGGAGAGGATAAAAACTATCAAAATTACGCTCAGAAAAATTATTGGTCGATCATCGCTCCTTCTCGTCGAACTCGAAACAGTGTTTGTCGAGATTGAAGCCATGATAAATTACAGACCCATCACTTATTTATATAGTGACCCCTCAAAACCATCTCCACTCACTCCAGCTCATTTTTTAATAGGTAAACTCTTGCTATCCCTCCCTCCTACCAGAATTTCTAAGGTTGAGCTTTTGGGATCGAGAGAATCAATTGTGAAAAAATTTAAACATCAACAGAATCTGTTGAATCATTTTTGGAAATGCTGGCGAAAAGGCTACTTGTTAAATTTAAGATCAGCTAACACGAGCCAAAAGGTCTTGAATGTAAAAGTGTTTAAACCCAATGACATAGTGTTAATTCATGAGGAACTTTATTCCAGAAATATGTGGTCATTGGGCAGAATAACCGAAATTTTTCATGGAAGGGATGGCAAGGTCCGTTCTTGCTCAATAAAAACTCGAACTGGAATTATTAGAAGGCCTATTCAGCTTTTATATAATATGGAAATTAATAACTAAAAAAAATAAAAAAAAATTGTGAAACTTTAACATATTCGTAATGCTCTCTAATGTTACATTTTTTTTATTAATGATTTTTTTTATATTTAGTAGATTTCATTCCAGAGAAGCTGAAATGTCAAGTCTGGTAAACTGTTTACCATTTCGTAAACTTAAATTACTTAAATTTGGTGGGGAGCGTCGCGGAATGCCTCTAGATGGCGTTCTCATAATGTAAACAAAAAATTTGTTTGAATAATCCATTGAAGGCAGTTGTAAGCCTAATGAACTGAAATAAATTTTTTTGTTATTGTTTAATCGATTGCTCATCTTTGAAATTTCACACTGTATACAAACTGTGCACACTTATTAGAAAGAAGCATGAGAAAATATTTTGGAGACCTGAGGTTGGACACAAAAGTCTGAGATGGCCGGTCTGTGATTCTCTTAAATTAAAAAGTTAAAAATTTGATATTTCAAGAATTAGTAGATAAAGATTAAAAAAAAAAGCATTATAAATTCAAAACTGATAGACAGGTTTGATAGTTTGATTTGGTATTGAAATGTTTTAATTATGATTAAGACATGAGTTTTTGCATTCGATTTTAACAAGAAGTAAAAGAGTAAAAAGAGAATACTGATATAAAAGTGAATAAAACTGATAAAAAGTACCTTCATAAGTTAAATTACTTAAACAATATTAAAATAAACTGGATTCTGCAACTTTTCACAGCAGACAAAATATTGACATGCCCTTTAACATATAGTAAGCCAAGCATGGTTTGAAGAAGCATCAACATTGATTACTCAAAAAAATCAATTTACAAGAAATGAAATAATCAAACCAATACTAAAATACAAAAATTCAAGATAGAAAAAAACAGTACAATATTAAGATACCTTATATATTGCAAAGGATGACTTTGATGAATAACAATTTCACAAGTAGGACAGGTATTGTTATCTTCAAGGTGTTTAACTAAACAACTTTTGCAAACTAAAAAATGAAAATTAAGTTAGTCAAACATTCTGGGAGATTGATAATTAATCACTTTGGTCACACTTTCACAAGGAAATATATTTTCTATGTACTTAATTTTTTAGAGGAAATAAAAGAGCAATAAACAAGTATTTGATAATTTCGCATTTTCTCAATTTAATAATTCGCAGTCGAAAGTCATAAAATTTTGAAGATTAAATGAACAAATTTGAAAAAAAAATTTTTTTTTTTGGAATAACAAACTGGCTCATGTAAACATGAATAAATATTTCTTAATTATTCCCTGATGTAAACCAATTTCTTATTCAAAACCATTTTGAACGTAAGTGTAAACTAAGTTTGCCAGCAAAGTTTGTCTCCTTAAAAATTAGTGAAGTAGTTACTACAATTTCAAAGTAGTTTGTAGTCACTACATTAAAAAAAATAGTAGTAGTAGTTGCAGTTAACTACTACATGTGTAGCAAAGTAGTTATAGTTGTAGCAAACTGCAAAAATAATACAGTTTTGTTAAATAAATAATTACTTTGTTCAATTATGTAAAAAGAAAATATTTAATTTAAAATTAAAATTAGTGTTACCTATGGGCATATTTTTTAGATTTGAAAAAAATATATTTATGAATGCATAATAAATAAAAGTAATAATAAGATTATTATTTTTGATCATACTAAGTTGAGAGATGTGTAAAAAATAAGTCAGCAAATAAAACCTTAATAAATTCATACTACAAACATAAATTAGTGAATGGCCCCCAATTAATTTTTTATTAAATTCTTTATTTGGTCAATACTTTTTCAAATTAAAAAATAGTTTTCAGATTAAAAAATAGTTTCAATAACTTTGAAATTTAAAAGAAAACGAATTTAAATCAAGCAATTAAAAGATGAATTAAATATTTTTGAAATGGAAAACTTTGAATCATAGGGTCAAGTGGCATAAAGTGGGTATAAAATTATGCTTTATTTAGAGAAGGCTCTAAAACCAAACTATTAAATTTTTTCTACTCAAAATTTTGATGCATTTTATATACATTGGATTTATATAGATTAAATCTGAATCTATTTTGTTTGACTGTTTTCTTACAGTTATGCATTCAAAAGAACATGCTTTGATATACCCATTTTCTCCCAGAGTGTGGAAAAATGGTATGATTCTAAAATTAGTATTATTTCACTATAAAACACATATAAATATCGTTTCAGAAATAAAAAGGTTCTTAAATAAATGTACCCCGATTATAGTTTTAAAAAAAATTTTAAAAAAATATTCTACTATTAAATTGAAGAGTTACTGCTCAATGGCTATTAAAAATTAGGTTTCACTTCGAATGTTATATTTTGCGGAACTCTACACAATTTTACTAAAAAGCAAGAAAACTGTAATAGCTTTTGTTTTATTTGAAATATAAATGAGAGTGTAAAAATTAATATCTATAGTGGTAATTTAAAGTGGTTTTACTACTTAAAGCAGGCGTGTATTTTTATTCAATTAGTCATTTTAAGGAAATTGTTTTCCATGAAAAAACTGCTATCTAAAAGGCAGAAACTGGTATGATAACTCATATACTCATGTTTAAATATGCTCATATAAAAGGCATATGTTACGCTATTATGCTGTTTTGGTAATTTTTTTAATTGTTATCTTGCTATTTCCCCTCTTTCATTCTTCTCTTTAAAAATTAAAATTTAGAAGAAATTTTGTTTTCAGTGTTAAAATTACTATGTAGGGCTATAATCAAAGAAGTAAATTATTTTTTAGCTATTTCATTATAAAATATAGAGCATACAATATTTACTAAAGCTAACAGTAACATGGAAGTAAAAAATATACCTCTATCATACAACACTTAGCTAAGCCTAATCATATACCCACTTTACCCCACCTTAGAAAATAATAAATAGAATTTTAAAATTTATTTTTAAATTTCGATGTAAACAAGTTCCTTAGATAACCTTCTACCAATTTGTACTAAAATTAATAGTTTTTAATCATATTAAATGTTCATCTACAGGTTAAAATAACACACTGTATAAGTTGATCATAAATAGATAGTTTTTGAAAACATACATTTCTCATCATTTTCTAAAACTGCAATAAAAATGCTTGCCATAATTCCAGTAAATGTCTCTGAAAATATTAAACAAATTATCTCAATTTAAAAGAAAATAGATTATTTTTAACATTATACCCAATTTACCCCATCTGACCTTTTATGATTTCTTACAATTACAGGGTAAATATTAAATAAACGAAGGGCCTTGCCTATCATAATATAAATCAAGATTACTGAAAATTTCAATAACAAATCAACTAAAATAAAACTGCAATAAAAAACCTAAAAAACTTTTTACAATTAGTAAGCAGTCCCTTAATAAAATGGCATTTAATTTTTCTCATTATTAAACAAAATGAATGAAAGAGAGACAAAAATTTATCTGTGAACTTCTGTGGAAAGTTGACTGCTCTGAATCAGCATGAAAATGTCTAATTAATGAGCAGATCTACAAGTCAAATTCAAGATTTGTGATACTTATCTAAATGTAGATCATTGCATGAACAACATTTAGATAAGAATAGATCTTTTGGTAGCAAAAGTAATAGCACTTCAGCAGTCAATTATCAAGAAAAAGAGAGCTATTATCTTTGCTATTAAGGGAAATATTTGTTAATGCTTATTTAGTAGATCCTTGTGATTAACAAAAAATTCAAGAAATTTTCGATTCAATTTCAGAGAACTGGAATTCAATTTCAGAGAAGCTTAAAATTTGGAGTCTCATGCATAATTTAGTGAGATGCACATGGGAGTACGGTGTAGAAGCCGCAGATATGGGACCTTGTACTGTATTTGGAAAAAGCAAATTCTTTTAATTATTTGTATTAATTATCTCTTAAAGATTTATTAATTAGAACACTTAATTAAAGTAACTCATCAAGATTTAAACCCTTGATACCTGTAAAAAAAGGAATCAAATATTTAGTCACATAAATTGTGATATTTCATATACTTACAAGTATGTAAACACTCGATCACAGTTGTTGCATCAATCAAGTATCCCTTGCATATCTTACAAGTAATGTGTGGATTAAGAGTTTTTAGGCGTATCCGCCTTTCCATCTGAAAGAAAGTTTAAACATAAAAACCATAATTGGCAAAACACTTATCTGTTAAAATAGGGGTGCACAACCTGCGGCCCACCAACCCTCGAAGTGCGACACGCCACAATTTGAACAAAATAAAAAAATTTTGGAAAAAAACAAAATAATCGAATATTTGAAATTTACGCATTTAAGTTTTTGATGCTCCCAATCTCAATCAATGTAGTTTTTGATAGCTTTTTTTTCGATGGTTAACTCTACGGATTTAAGCATATATAGTTTTGAAAATCCCAATATATTTAATACCTTATTATTACGATACACGAATTTTAGTTATCACTTTTGGCCCTCTTCCGTGTGCTGATTTCATTGTAAATCAAATTACTTTTGGTAGTTATTGCTACCCATTTTCACGTAGTTTCTTAAATCACAATTTTTGAAAGTTATGAAACGTTTGATTAGCGCAAATTTTATGGAAAATCTAAATGGTTTTTGATCCTCTTTTCAACAATTATTGCTACGCATTTCCGCATGGTTTTTAAAATTTCAATATTTTAGCAAGAAATTATTATGAATCTCAAGTAAAGAATCGCCCATTTAGATAATTACTCTGGTGTGATTTATTTGTACCGATTTTATCTCAAATCAAATTATTTTTCAATCGCTATTTTGGAAATTATTGCTACACATTTCTACAAGTTTTTGAAAGTCTAGATATTTTTTATACACTATTGCGCCACTTTAATTTTGAATCCAGCATTTAAATACATGACGCGTTTTATTTACGTCAATTTAATTGTAAATATAAAGAGATTTTGATAATTTATTTGGTAGTTATTACCCCGTGATTTAAAAAAAATTCTGATATTTTTAATGCTATAATTTGACAGCAAGCGAGATTTGAATCACGCATTAAAATAATTACTTTTTAGGTGCTCTATTTTGTACTGACTTTAACAACAATTTAAGAGGTTTTTCGAATGTGTTTTTTTTCTTTCCAGTTATTGCTGTATTTTTACTTGTGATTTAGAATATGTTTTAATGCAATATTTTAACACAGTATTACAAAACTTGAAATAAAATTTTTTTTCAAAGTAAAAAGTAATTACATATCTTAGTAAAATCGACACCTTCTTGAAGAAGATTAAAATCAAAAGAAAAGAAAAATAAAAACAAAATGTGTACATTTATATTAATCACGGTCCCTTTTGCAAAAAATAATTCAAAACACGTGCATATTTCTTTATTCCCATGAACAGGTGCAAGTGTAACAGCACACACCCAAGCTATTCCTTTTGTTGTCACATGATTTAAAAGTCACACATCGTAATTTGTATTTACGCGATCTTGAATTTGTGCATCGCATTTGTATTAACATTAACAAAATTTTAAAATCATCCATCACGATTTACATTCATGAGATTTAAAATCACATATCGTGATTCATATTCATGCATTTTAAAAATCATGAGTTGTGAGTAGGACTGGGCGATATTAGAAATTCTATATTGTGATGCATCGTCAGTTTTGCATCGCGATATAGTATTTTTGCATTTCATTTACTTGTAAGGCAGAGAAAGTCAGATTTCTATCAAAACTCCATACTCAGATTGATTTAAATCAATTTATAAATTTGAAGATACATATGTTTTGCTTAAGAAAGATATTAAATAAATTGACTACAATGTACAAATCTTACTTAAAATATTTATTGAAAAAATGTGTGTAGATACAGAATCAAATATTTGTACCTCTTTATCGTTTATAAGGTATAAGCAGTCTTAATTTAAGTTAGATACTTTACTAAGCTTTTAACTAGCAATCAAAGAAAGTTTAAAGCGATAGGTTTATGAATTATTTGGAAATCGATTAGTTTATGCGAATGAAATTTTCGAAGAAAAATAAGTTTAAAGCCATAAAACATAATTTTACTAAAAGAGCCATATAAAAATAACTTTGATAATTACATATTTATTAAGTTCGATTGTAATGTTCAAATTCTAAATGAAAAAGTAAACGCAAGTTTTGTTACATTTTCTAAAAATGATGACGCAAATTACGAAAGATTTCTTAATTTAAAAATAAATAAAATTGAAATTTATCAATATATTTATCTAACAGTATAGAAAGAAAATTTAAAAAATAAATAAGTTCGTTAAAAAGTATTTGTATGTTTAAAACAAAGTGCAAAATAAATTTTAGGAAAAAACACTTTTAAAACATTATTTTTCATTATTATTATTTCACATAAATAATTAAATTAAATTGAATAATGACCAAATTATGAACGAAAAACAAAGTAAGGTTTAATTTCTTAAAAATAAAAACAAAAGAATTGTGATATTCGATAATATATTTAGCTAATTAACTAATATTAAAAGAAAATTTAAAAAAAAAATTATTATACTCTCTAATAAGACGAAGTGAAGTGCTAAATGATTAAAAAAAAAATAAATAAAATTCGCAAACCTTTCAAATTTTTTTGAATAAACAAAGTTGATTGACTTATGCCCAAATCCAAATGACAAAAAATTAATTTTGTTTCAACTTTATTTCTAAAAATAAAAACAACTCAAGATTTATAAATTTAAAATCAGTAATAAAAACCCATTAAATTTTTAGAAGTTTTATCCTAAAAGTTATTAATAAATTAAAAGCAAGTAAAACAATAACAAATTTAATTACTTTGTAATTTAAATCTTTATGGGCACCTTAAATTAGATTTCCAAAAATTTTCACATTTAAAAATAAAATGAAAAGTTTCGTTCAAAAAAAATAATTTACCAAATTAATGAAGAAACTCGTCTTTATATAATTCTTTTCAATAATAGATTGCGCTCAGAACAAGGTAACGGTGTCGATCAGGAAGTTAGTCCCACTGAAAATAATCTACAAGAAAAGGATATCAAGTCGCGGCGAAAAAAAAACAAACTAAGAGGTGCGAAAACGAACATGCGAGACCACGATATATGTACTCAAAACTCTGGTTCTGATTCACCGCTCATCAAGGCCATTTCAACATAACGAAGCGAACATCGTCTTCCGCAGCGCGAGTCTACATCGGAACGTAAGAGAAGATCCTTGCGTGTCTTATATCGGTAGTGTTGGAGTGGTTTGTTACTCCTCTGAATACATTAAATTAACAGAATTAAGTTTCGACCGTGTGTTGGCAACAGATATTTTCTTTTCAGATAACGTAAGTGACGTCATTCATGCATATAATTATGGAATCTGTATATAAGGCATGCATTGTTGTAACCATGTGTTCTTGTCTTGTCTCTTCACTATGTCACGTCACTGTGTTGCTGTTTCCGGTGATGTACCAAATTTTTGTTAACCTGTATTTATATTTAATATCTTCAGTTGTATGCTGTATCGAGATGGTACTGTATGAAATAAAGAAATGTTTAAATCTTCAACTTTCTTTATGTGAGATAACACTTTCACTCACTGCTGTGCTACTCCGCTAACACATCAACAGGTACATCGTTTAGCGCTCGTTGTCTTTACTCGACGGCTCAAGTCAGATTTCTGATGCATCGCCTAGAACGAAAGTCGCTGAATCGGCTGGCCGATATATGCGTTAAATCTATATGTCACGATACATCGAATTATAGCCCAGTCCTAGTTGTGAGTCTTCTTCTCGCAATTTAAAAACCACACATCTCGATTCATATTCACGAGATTTATAAACCATATATCGCGATTCATATTCATGCATTTTAAAAATCATGAGTTGTGAGTCTACTTGCAATTTAAAAACCACACATTTTGATTCACATTCACGCGATTTGAAAACCACGCATCGCGCTTTTTATTTACGCAATTTAAAAATCACACATAGCAATTCTTATTCAAGCAATTAAAAAATAACACATCGCTATTTGTATTGCGATTTAAAAATCCGGAAAGGAAGAACACCATCTAGAACAAATTCCAAAACTGATTAAGTTATTTGCCTTAAGTTTAATACTACCCACAACAACAGCTTCTGTTGAAAGACTGTTTTCCAGAATGAATTTGGCCAGTTCAAAATTACAGAGCAGTCTTAAAACAAAGTTATTAAATTTTCATTCATAGGCTCGAAAAACTATCACGTGATCAAGTAGATAAAATTATCACAATATTTAAAAATTTTGCAAATTGCTGGATAACCATTAAGAAATTTTTAAAACTGTTTTCTACCTACTCAGACCATTTTATATCATTTGTGATTATATGCTGGGAAATGATTTGTATATCATTTTATTTTAACAGTAAAAAAAAATGTAATCAAGATAAGTTTCATAAAGTAATGTAAATTTTATTAATTGTTCAGGGGTCTGACCAGGCTGAATTTACTGCCGTTTAGCGGTACCTTCACAAATTCAACTTTAGGAAAAACGGTAGTTTCACAAAATACTTTTCTTTAAATTTTATTTTTGTGTCCCTAAGAAACGATAAACTCATATTTTTGTGTTGATTTTTTAATATAATTTTTCCCAAATTATGTCTAAATTTTTACAAAATATGTACCTCTTAAAAAAACCTAGACAGACCCCTGTTGTTAATATTCATGTGTATTAATTGTAAATAGTAAGTGTCATATAAAAAAAATATTTGTCAGAAAAAGTTGTAAACAAATATCATAACAGTTTTTTATTATTAAGGAAAATAGTTCCTTCAAAATTAATGTTTTCTTTCTTTCATTTTCTTCCCCTCTCAGCACCTACCTCTTATAATTAATTTAAAATAAATGTTTCAAAGTTTAAGTATATTCCGCACTAAATCTTATTTTCCACAGAAGGGATTTTGCTTTAATTTTAATAACTTGCATTTATATTAATAACTAGAATATTTATTTATTTTTTTATATTTAATTCTATGAAGAAATTTTTTAATGTAATGTATTTTAAAATGTATGTTTAAATGGACTTTTGTATTATGTAATATGAAGAAGAAAAAAAACATGAATTTTCCCAGAGTTTTTAATTATTTCAATTTATCGAAAAAATTTTTTTTATAAATTTATTCTGGTTT